GATGGGTGAGGATGTTAGAAAGCACATTATGAAAGCGTAATCTCACCAGTGAGAGGCAAAATGAATCAATGTCACCTTGAGTAAGAATGGAGATCAGCCTGGCAGCATTCCTGAGATAGCTGTGTGAAGATCTGACACGGTTATTCACGGGAGACTTAAAACAGAGACCAGGACCACGGGTGTAACCCAACCTCAGGAGCAGAGGGAACTTGAATGAGATCAAGGTCATCTCAGGAGCTGCAAAAGAGAAGGTCACATCTGGGTCAGATGTGCAGGGCATCTCAGGTTAATTCCTCCGTCATGTCCTCATCTGTGGAAGCAACAGTCATTTCTCAGCACTCTGCCCTGCAGTCCTCTTGTCTGCAGAGATGTGTTGCTGGAAGGTGGGCATGGGAAAAGCAGGGTCTGCAGTGACTGGGAAAGGAGCTGTGTCTTGCTGTGCTTGGCACAGTGCAGATACCTGCTTTGCAACCAGACCTTCATGGAGCTGTTGGACTGGAGAACAATTTCTATTTTAGCAAAGGGGATAGGTAGGGTGCAAGGGCTGCTACCACCAAATGATTTTTAGGGAGCTGTGCTTTGAACTGTGGGCCTTTAAGGGTCAGGATTCACTGACCTGGCAGGTGCTGAGGAAAGCCCCAGATAAAAAATGGCCACAGGGTCCGGTTGCTCCAAAATTGTTCAGATTTTGGATCTTTGTGTAACATTTTCTGCCAGGATGTGTCTGGAGGGGAGACACTGAGTGGGGTTCTAGTGCTGCTTGGGGCAGGAGAGCTTTGGGACATCGCCTCCACAAGGGCTGATGGTTAAGGCTGAGGGTTCAGTCCCAGTGGAAAGGTCTGAGAGATATCCCTTGCTCTGCTAATACAGTGAGGTCCTCTCAGCCCCACTAAGTGCTTCCAGAGTGCTTTGTTGCTCGTGGATGCGAGGGGAACCCAGCCCTTTTCTAATTGTCACGTTCGAGGCTTGTGCAGGCAGAGATGTGTTCCATATGGAGACAGCAACCAAGCTGCCCAGCTTGGCACAGCCAGCCCGTCGATGGGAAAATGATACATTTAATTGTATGGATGTCATAGTACTGGAGTCATTTTCTTAATCCTGGAATTGGAAATAAATACAGCAAATAACAAATATACAGTTGGCTGGGGATGATTCAGAGTATTCATTGTGAGGAGTTGGAGGGCAAACATATGGAGGAGGTTCTCATTTTCAGGCTGAACAGGACATATCTCAGCTCCTTGTAAATTCGTCGGGTTGGGCTTATGGAGATTTCAGCCAACTGAAAATTCAACCCCTTGTTATTAGATGGGATGTCGAGAGTCTGTTCGTACTCTCAAGGAAGTACTTTCTGACATTTGAAATTGGACTTTAACACCCAGGTATGATGTGAGCTGTCCCAGGCTGGAGCTTGTTCCTTTTTTTGGTCAGTGCTTCCCATCTGAGAGCCACTTCTTTCTGCTTTGCAGATTTCCCCTAGTGCTCTTCATGGCTGTGCTTGCTCCACCCATCCCCACACTCAGCTGTAGCCCCAACCTGCTGGGATTAATTGCTGGCAGGAGATTGGCAGGACAGTCTCACCATGGGTTGACGGAAACCAAGGTGGAAAAGCGGGATAGGAACACTGTTGTGCTTGCATACCATGAAGCAGCACTTTGTGAAGGCACTGAGAAAAGTTTGGTCATGAGAACAGGGCCATTAAACACAGCATTTTACATCTGACTGCCAGTACCCAGCATTTCTGTATATTTCTTGAGGGTTTCCTAGACAGGCTCATGTCCAACATTTCTGGAGGCTGACATACACCCGGCACCACTGTGATACGCCTGTGGTAAGGCCAGTGCTTACTAAAAGTGTTGGAGCTACCACAAATGGATTGTTGGTTGGGTTTGCACATTCCTTGCTTTTCGTCAGCCTGGCTGGAGATGTTACACATCTGCTCCAATCAGGAATTCTGGAAAACCAGAAATACAGGTAAACATCACCCCCCACCCCCTTCCCCATACATCCATATAAACCTGGACAAATCAGCCTTCCCCAGATGTTACTTCTGCCAGCCAAAGATGTAGAATTCCCAGTGAAAACCGAGGGTGGTTATCTGTAGCCCACAAGTAATTTCAGCTCAGTTTCTAACAATGATTTGAGCTCTGGAGTGTAAAGTTTAACTTTACTTCCAGGCTGTTTATTACACTAAATACTCCCGATATCTGTATCTACCTCCTACCCAAGTTTTCTCAGTCCTGAGACAATCAATAACCATGGCTCTTGCCAGCAGTGATAATAGAAATAGCTCTCTCCGACTTAAGGCTGATTACTCTCAGGTCACTCCAAAGCACCTCTCTCCCAGAAGCAGATTTGGAGCTTACCAAGCTTACATCCTTTGGGAGGGATGTTAACCACACACCTCAGCCTGTGCTGCTATCTCCATGAGCTGCACTCACCGTTAATCATATTGAGCTGCAGAGCTCACCAATTTGTGGCCAGGCAAAGATGCTCTGCGTGTGCAGGCAGATGTGCTGGGAGTAATTTTCTCCTGTTTGTCCCACTCTACAAGAGCCCATGGCTTCAGACAATAATATCGGTGACCCATCTGCTCTTCTCCTGTTCACCACTTTGTATTTATCCACTTTGTATTCTGCTCCAGATGTTTGGGGATGTTCCCTGGGAATAAGTGAATGACATTACTCTTATTCCTTCCCTTTCGAATGTCTTCCCACTTGGTACAGACTCTACTTAATATTTCATTCTGCATTTTCATAGTTGGGCACTTATGCACATTAATTATTCAAGAGGCACATTGCTTGAAGTAAACGTGTAGATAAAGGCAGCTGCTGGTGTTTTCTAAGGAAGGTGGTCACTAATCAGGATCCACTGTTACAACTTTCAAATAAAAATCTCACAGGCTCCTTTTCTGTTCTACATTTTCAAAAGTCCATTTTCTTACTTGGTGCAGGATGGCACCTCCAGGTGTATCAGTGCTGATCAAACGTTCTCACTCCCATCCCTAAGAAAGTAGGGCTGAGACACTGCAAAAGTCTCTCCTCTCCATGCTAAATCCAGCACTGTGGTAATATTCCCATGCTTACAAAGGCTGCTACATCTGTCCAGCAGGAAAGGCTGGCTTTTTAGCCTCATTTCTATTAATCTGTGGCAATTCCGTAGCGCTGTGTGTGTCACGTACCATGGTAAGATAGTTTTGCTTTGAAGAATAGCAACTTCACTTCCTCTTCACAATTGACATTACTCAGATCTTTGAGAGACACAACCCTGGTAAAGCCCTGGTAAACCTGCCTCCTCTCCAAACTCAGCCTCCTCTCCTCTGTTCTCCAGCCACCTGCCCGGCCTGCCTCACTTAAACACATTACTTTGCACCTTACTGCTGGGAGGAACGTGCATCTTTTGGGTGGGAATCTGGGCAGCTCCAGGTGACGGGAGGAGGCACCTCAGTTTCTTTCCTGGAATACCAACTTCACCACAAGCTGTCAACCTCCATTCATCAGTCCCAGCAGGGTCGAGCAGGGTGGATTTGCTTGTGGGTGGAGCTGAGAGAAAATAATGAGCTCCTCTTAATGAAGAGAGTGATTTGGTTTGCTGTGTCTGGCAGACTGTTTTCATCTTTTGTACTTCTGGTAGTTGGCATCCTGGGCAAGACTAAGGGACTTCAGTTTGGGAGTGGTAGGCATGCACTCAATTTGCTGCCTACCACTGGCAGAGGATCAAGGCTGGAATTTTCATTACTCTTGCTCTGCTTGCCAGAAAGAAGTACTTTGATTTAATTCTGGTGGCTTCTTGTTCAATGCCAAACTTGGAACGTGATGCTCTGATGTCTTCCAGCTTCTTAAAGTAACCACAATGTCCCGCTGAGGAAATATATATTTATACAACAGAGGAATTGTATTTAAGTATGGAGTCTTTTTATTAACAGCAATTGCATGCTAAGCTCTAGGTGGATCCTATGCTTTGGAACATCAGACTGGCTCCTGTAATAAATCCTATGTACCAAGCTCCGATCGCATCAGATATTTGTGATTCCCCAGTAACTATTCTTAGAAGGCTCATCCTGTTAAAATACAGCCACCATGTCTCTTATCCCTGAAAGAGGATAAGGGATGCTAGGAGAGCTGATCAGATGCTTTCTGGCATAGACGTCCCTTAAGATGGAAGACTGTGCTTTTGACAAAATGGTATTTTTCTAGAGAAAGCATCTGCTCTCCTTACAATGTCATTTTCTTGCCAGAAGAATACCTCAAAACCAAATTGTATTATTTTTTGGACAAAAATTCAAAAGCTCTGGGGTTTTGGCAAAAGAGTTTAAGAATTCAACAGAAAAAAAAAAAAAAAAAAAAAAAAAAAAAAGTTTTTGTTTTCCAAAAACCGAGAAGCTCATTCTTTCCCTTTTTAATTCTGTTTAAGAATTAAGGAAAAATATTTTGTGACCATATTTTCCCTCTGAGGGAGGAGACCCTGTTTGCAACGCTCTCTAGATGCTAGCAGAAAATGAGTGTCAGGTATTAAACTAAAGCAAAGTTCTGTAGCGTCACTGAGTTTTCTAGGGGGCTAGATATTTTCTGTTTCCCATTGCATTACACGAGCTGCTGGTGTCTCAGTGTTGTTGGCAGAGGAATGAATTGACCCTTACACCAACAGCACTGTGTTGGGTGTGATGCGCTGGAGGGAGCATGGAAGAGCAGACCAAGTGAAATGGAGCCAAAACTTGGAGATAGAGGACGTCAAAAGGGCACATATTTACAATATGTGGAGACAGGCCCTCGGACTGTTGGTATTCTGCTCTGGGAAGTGTGAGGACACAGGGGCCTCTGGGCAGCCTGGTCTGGTGGTTGGTGACCCTGCACATAGCAGGGGGGTTGAAACCAGCTGATCATTATGGTCCTTTTCAACTCAGGCCATTCTGTGATTCTATGATTTTATGATATTGTACTCTTGCTATAAGCTTTGCTTTCCTTGCAGCTCTTTCTCAGACAGCCTGTTTTGGTCCGATACAGGAGGAACAGATGAAACACAAGGCAGAAGGAGAATCTGAAAATGTTTGAGGCCACGAGAAGTTTCATTTTAGACAGGACTCACACATCTGGTATGTGCACTGTCTTTTCTTTTCATTTTGTACGGACTGTCATACTCTACAGCAATATTAATGTATTAATATATTCATAGAATGTCAACATTTATGTATAATGCAATTAGTGCTTTAATACAAAAGTCAAAATGAAATGAATCAACATGACATTTGAAACAAAATCTTTTGACACTGTTGAAATGAAATAGCCTTATGGAAGAGTTTTTACCCATCCTGCTCCCCCTTCCTCTCCTGCTCGGTTTTCAGACGTTCCGTTCCAGATGTGGTGGTCAGACTCCATTTGGGCCAATGGACGTATTTGAAAAGAGAGACAGCCTAACACTGACCACTTCGATATCACTTTTCTTAGAGAAGCTCGCATAGGTCTCCCTTGAACTTTGTCTCAAATTACTAGAACAATAGGTCAGAAATGAGGAGCGCTCATGTTTCTGTGCTTTTGGCTGTTGAAGAATGGCTAGCCCATAGCTCAGATTGGAGAGCAGGTGATAAATGCTGATCCAGAAAGCTCAAATACAATCTTATGCATTATTTCCTTCCTTTCCTGAGCCCTAACCCCTATTTTCTCCCCCAGAACTCCATAAGTAATTTTTTGTTGTTATTTTCTGTGTGTTGGTATAGCAGTATCTTCCACTCACCATGACATCTCATCTCTGAAGTCTACAGGTCCATTCTGAAATACATCTCTCCCCTCTCCATGGAGCAGCCTCACACTTTTGATGTTTCAGCAGCTAGAAAATCGCAAGCCCTAGGCAACCATTTAGCTAAGCTCTGGCCTTCCTTTCTTTTTCCTTTTTCTCTATTTGGAGCATGACCTGAGGTTTGTATTCATTTGTTCAGGTTAATAAAAATTTCACGCTGCACAAAAGTTACTTTATTTTGCAAATGGTTCTTTCTGGGAAATTCCAAACAGGAAATTATAAAAAAATTTTTTTAATTCCTTTTTAAGAAACTTGCATGGGATAAATTACTATATAGTCTTGCTGGGCAGGAGTCTAAAGAACACAAAAGAGGATTTAAAGAACAACGTTTAATAGAAAGTAATATGTGTATATTTTATACATATGTTTATGTTTTTGATAAATGTACATGTATTTATCAGGACACCAGCCCTCTCCAAGTGCACCACCACAAGTGTCAGTGGGAATGAACCCAGAAGTGCCATGGTGCACAGGAAGGACTCCAGACCTGACAATTATTTTTGCTGACCATCCCATAACTTCAAGCATTCTTCACATCCCCCTTGCTTATCTGGGGATCTGGGGACTGTCACCTTATTTGGGATGTACCACAAAAGATTTGGGGTTATTGCATTTCTGCAGAAGGGCCAATAGCTGCTACTTGATAGGGTCAGTGGTTTCTAAGAGCACACTTGAAACCAAGAGCATTTCTCTTAACACTATCTGCTCCATTTAGGCCCTGTTGAACTAATTCCCACCATGTCTCACTGCAGCTGCACCCACCCTTGAAGGACTGTTTCATCATGTCCAGCACTTGATGAAAGATGTGCAGAGCCTCACCTGTGGAACATGAGATTCAGGCACTTGGCTTCTGGGGCTGAGCTGCTCTGATCTGCTGGTGTTATCTTGTGTATCCTCTGGTCCTGTACACAGTGGAGGAGATTCAAGTACATGTAGGTACTCTGGTACATGCAAAACACCTTTGATTTAATCCTTACCACAGCATTCATTACCTCCAGCCACATTCTCATGAACATGCTCTCTTTTCTCTGGATGGGAACTTCAGGCATCCAGTGCACAGTCTTCAAGGCTGGTAGCTTATGAGCAAGAATTTCATACATTAAAAATGTATGTAGAATCACACAATCATTAAGGTTGGAAAACACCTTTAAGGTCATCTAATCCAACCATCCAGCTATCACCAGTATTGCCCACTAATCATGTCCCTAAGCATGGCACCTTTTTCTTAAAACGTCTCTGGGGATGGTGACTCCCCCACCTCCTTGGGCAGCCTGTGCCAATGCAGCATCACTCTTTCTGAGAATCAGTTTTTCCTAACATCCAACCTGTATCTCCCATGCCACAACTTGAGGCCATCACCTCTTGTCCTGAAGATAGGATACAGCCCATCTGTATGGAGTCAGAGCAGTGGCTGTGATGCTACTTGGAGCAGTCAGACTGGTTGCCCATAAGTTCTAAGGTACAAGCACAGACAATTCCAGCTGGGAAACCCCAGGCAATAACTCAGTAACACTACTTGTGGGCACTGCTCTGTGCCAGGGACAAAATCCCCTTGGCAGGAGCATGGGATTTCCTGAGCTGTTCTATTTATTTGTATTGGGAACACAGCTTCTTCAAAGTCAAAGTTATTTGTCTGAATCCCCAAATTTGTACTGTTTTTTTTTCCCTTCAACTGATTGTAATTACATTTGCATACATGATATACAGATATAGAGGAATTCAATCAAAATGTAGCTGCCAAGAGGAGAACCAGTGAGTGTATGTTTATCAGAAAATCGTTATTAAAGACCTTCCAGGTTGGCAAACTTCACTTCAGAACGAGAAGCAAGATTTTTCATTTATCTCATTAAATATTTTCAGTTATTTCAGATGCAAGAGCCAAAAATATAAATCACTGCCAGCTTACAGAAATATGAGTTGGTAGAATGCTTATTATTGTTATTTATTAGATTGCAAAGAAAGATCTTGGCAGGTTTGTCTTGATGGGTGAGTTACAGGAATACAAGCTCTGTAATGGAAGGGTGGAGGATAAGGCATTCACATTCCAGACACTGTTCCACTTTCTCCACATCTGATTCAATTTCAGTAGAGGTGGAAGAAAACCTGAACAGATCTCTATAACTGCAGCTGCAAACAGAGAGTGGTGCATCAGATTTCCTGTGAGATGGATTGGGGCAGGAGAGTGGACACCTACTGAAGGTCTCTCTTCAGCTCTCTGCTCATCCCCAGGGTGTAGGGGGGATGCTGGTAAATGAGCCCTTGGTGAGACTAAATCCAATCAAACCATATTTATGTTTGCCAAATCTGTCTCACTGAGGCTGGAATGACTTGGCTGCACCAGGACTGTATTCAAGGAAAAGGACAAGACAGAAATCCAGCAAAATGAGTAGAACTCTCTATAAGATGGGGAGGTGAATGGGTGAGTTTTGTGTAGATTTCTGTGCAGATGCATCAATTTATTAGAGCTAATTGTGCAGAACTGAGGTCATGCTGGTAGCAGGACAGGTGGACAGATGGACAGATGGACAGTTGTGCCCGTCTGACCACACCAGCAATGGTTCCTTCACCCACCAAATATGATTCATGAATTTGGTTTTTACTCAGTAACAGATAATATTCCAAAACAACGCAGGAATGGAAGAGTCTGGCAGAGGAGTCTGTTAATCAGCTTTGCGAAAGATAATGAAGGTCAATGAGCATAGACACAGTAAGCAAAACAAAAAACGTGCACTGTTGTCCCCAAGCCAGGCTGAGGTTAGGATTGTTTTGGTACAGAGAAGCTCACAACAGCCTAAGATATCTGAGCAGCAAGTGTTCTCCTCAACAGTGGTAAATCTTGCAGTACCAGAGGTTACAGGCACAAGAAGTCCCTAAAAGGTACAAAAGATACATGCTACAAAGGGTAATATGGCAAATCTCCACGTAGCAGAGTGGCACCTTTCATAGAGTGAGGTCCAGGAGGGAGATGCCTGCCCCCAGTTAAATGAGGGAATCAGATGAGCCAAAAGGCATGGAAATCTTCCATTCTGCACAGTGCTGGAGGGGCTGCTTTGCTTTGTCCCAGGCAGAGCTCTGCAAGAAGTGTAAAGGGATGAAAAGCAGCGGGAGAAGCAATCTTGCTTTACTGATCTCAACGGTTAATCTTTAATTAAGCCGTGGACTGTTTTGGTCATTAATGTAATGTAGCAGGAAGGAATGAAGCCTCGTAAAAAATCCATCCTTGCTCTGAGAGATCGTGCTGAACCTCAGGGGAACATTTGGGAAATAGGTGCATCATGGGAATGCCCTTGGGAAGGGGATTTCTTTGGGGCTGTCCCATTGCACTCCTTGGGGAAGGGCTCCCAAGAGCCAGAGCTGCTCACTGGGTCCATTTGTGATTGTGCAAGTTGGAGGTTGGTTGGGTGCTGGCCAAAAGCTTATTGAATAAGAACTGCCTCAGAGGACTGTGGGGCAGACCCAAAGCTGAATGTAATTACCGGCTTATTTCTAAATTAATATTTTGTTAAGGGATTGGGATAGAATTTGTTTTCCTCCTCCTGCCCTCCACTGATCTGGGTTTGTTCAGCTTTGGAGCGTGCTTCAGGTTTTACTGCTCGTGTCTGAGGTTGTTAAAACCTGTGAAAGTTGGGAGCGTTTAAATTCAGAGAGAAAGGAAGAAAGAAAAAAAAAGAAAGAAAGAAAAAAAGAGGGGGGAGGAAAAACAGCTAGGAATGGGTGAATGTCATATAAATAGCAGTAAAACTGTTAAATCTATTTGCATTTCACACCCAATAATTTCAGACTCCACCTCGAGAGTACTGCTTGAAAGTCAGCACATTTAATTGTCCAGTAAATTTCCTTTCAGACAGCTGCTTCATAAACTGCCATGCAGTGCACGGTGAGAAAAAACAGATAAGTGATTTATCTCAGGAGGGAGACCAAAACAGCCATCTGTGTGCTGCTGGTTCCCCCCTCTGTCTCAGAGCAACCAGCACACGAGATCCTTGGGTGCAGATTTGCAGTGTGGGTGCTGACCCGGCCCCAGCAGCACCAACATGCAGGGCTGAGATGTCACCTGGCCACATGGTCCCTGCATGGTCCACAGCCCAGTGCCACACCACTGGGTCCAAGAACTGACTGTGTTGGGCAAGGAACATGTGAACTTTTTACATGTGGCCATAAAGCGATGGCTTATAATTCAATTAGAGCTCTGGAAAACCTGATGAGTTATGTCATGACTATTTAGCCTAGCATTGGCTTCTTGGATGTCTAAGGACATGGTCAAAGTGGAGCAAAAGGATGGAGAAAAAAATTTGGCCATAAATCTTTATGGGGTTGTTACAGCAGTGGTGGGACTGTTCAGTGTCCACAAAAATGGACAGAGAAAAACCAGTTTGGTTTGATTTGCAAAGAAACTTCAAATCCACTGCTCTTATCTCCCACTTCAGAACCTTTACAAAACATATCCATTGATTTTCATAAAGATCCACTTCTCCTTTCCTCTTTGTTTTCCCTTCTCCATGTCTTGCCATTCTTCTTTGCCATTTCTATCTTTCCTCTTTTAACAGGTCAAAAAAACCATGCATATATACATACGTATGGGGTTGGAGCTCCATGATCTTTAAGGTCCCTTCCAACCTAAGCCTTTCTATGGATCTATGATAAGTATAAAAGAATTCTACACCTGCACCACTATTCTGCTTCTCTCCAGAGGCTGTTGTGTTGAAAGTCAATGTAGTTGTTAAACAAAAAAGGATGGAAGCTCTAATTCTTGAAAAAAAACATCTTGGGGCTCCTCTGGGTGCCTTTTCCTGCTGCTGAAGATAAGAGCTCGCTGCCACTCCAGCACAGCTGCACACATCTGCAGGCTGCTGGGACTTGGGCAGGTTGCAGGCAGCTTGCTCACAATCTGTGCCTCTGAGCTGCCTCTGCCCCACAGCCAGGGATGCAGCAGCAAAGTGTGCGTGGTGTTAATGCTGGCAAGCTATTTCTTTTAATCAGCTGCTTTAATAATGAGGATATTACTGTTTCCTTATTCATTTTAAAAGGTCCTATGTGATCGTGAATGGCTTTATTTATCAGCTATTGTTTAGATAGGTACACTAAAGTAACCACCATTCTCGTCTGTTGATGCATGTGCTTTATCATGCATTTAATAGTCTTATTTCTCT